GGCAGATGCTTAATAACTGATTGGGCCACCCAGGCGCCCCTCCTTTCAAGACTTTAAATCAGAAGTTGTATTGAAAGTTGGTGCTGAAAGATAGAAAGATGTTGCTTTTAGGCAGAGAGTTATTTTTAATTTTTTGGAGGCAGTTCCTTTCTTGAAGAATCATACAGAAGCCAGGTGTGTCAGCTGGAGGTTCTGTCAGCTTCACTCTGGTATAAACTGGGCAGTTCTCGAGGATGCTGCCCACCTGCTCTGTGGGAACAGTAGCCAGACACCCCCAGGGACCAGCACAGCTCTGTCCCTTACTTTGTCCCTTGTGTCCTGCTAAAGGTGCTGCCTGACTTCTCCAGGATGGTCCGACCCTCTGTTTTTCCTCTCTTGGATGATAGGTGACGCTCCAGCTTTTCCTCCAGGGAGTATCTCTATCTGACAAAACATGACAACCATCACTGGGCTTCCTGACGTAATCCCAAAGATTCCACATTTATATTTCATGGGGCCCCATCCGCTCATCTTCCTGCTTTTCTTCGTTGTCACCTTATCTTTCCCTTTTGACGCCAGCATATTCCACACTGGCCGGTACCTTTGGGTTTTCTATCATCCAGTAATTGACTGAGCCTTCTTTCTTTCTGTTTGGAAAAACCCCCGTCATGTTTGTTTGTTGCATCCTTCATTCCAGTCTCTCATACCTTTTTTTCTCTATTTGTGATTCGGGGCGCCTGGGTGGCTCCGTTGGTTAAGCGTCTGACTCTTGGTTTCGGCTCAGGTCATGATCTCGAGGTCACGGGATTGAGCCTCATGTAGGGCTCTGCACTCAGGGTGGAGTGCGCTTGAGATTCTCTCTTCCTCCCCCTCTGCCCCTCCCCGCTCGTGCTCTCTAATACATAAATTAAAAGATCTTAAACAGAAAAACTATTTGTGATTCCTGGGGGCCCCATGGCTGCCATGGAGATGTTAGAAAGCCCCTGGACCATATTTCAATAGACACATCAGGAAATTCTGAACATATCTTGAGACTCCTACTAATTCTATGGGATTACCGAGGTTTATAAACTGCATTCCACATTTTTCCCTTGGTATTCTCACATACTTCTGAAATGTCAGAGGGATGGGATTTCTCTTTATCCCGATATTAAGCATGTTTGAAAAGCCTGGGGAGAGGAATGAAGACACTCGATCTGGTTTCTTCATAAAATCTCTTGGAACAGGATGACTCTTCACGTAGATTTCCATTATTTTTTGGTAACAGGATACAGTTGTTGTATAATAATTGTAGCTTTGTATCTGTGGTTTTTAAAAGTTCAGTGATGAAGCAGATCACATTTATCAGGCACTGAGTCTGTACCAGACCCAGGATCTAGTACTGTCTGTGGCTTAGTTCATTTGACTCTCATATACCTGAGAGGTAGGTACTGTTGTTACCCATGTTTTGTAGAGGAGAGACCCTGGATGAGACAGCAGGGTCCTCTTTAACGACTTGTGACTGTTTTTGCTGATGATAAACCTCTCCAAGCGAAATGAAATTCTGGAGTCAGTTTGGTAAAATAATCGGTTTTTATAAAAACCACTCGCTCCATCCTGGTTGGAGTACTCTGCACAGGATCACCAGCACTGTCTTTAAAACAAGCATCTGTTACATTTATCTGTGGTCCCAGACAGATAATGGAGAAAGGCAGTGATTAGAATGTCATCTTTTGAAGCCAGCTGGTGGCGAGGAGATGTCTCAAAGACACCCTGAAGAAAGAAACTTTCATAAAGGTTTTAGAGTTGGTCCTCCGGCCTCATATTACATGTTACGTTCATATTACATGTTACATCCTTCAGCTGGATTTCCTGTCGTGACTGTAATGTCCTACCTCCTATAGCATGTGGCACGATTTTATGCATCCCACCAGTGACAGGAAGCTCTGTGTCCCCTGAAGACAAAGGGAAATAGAAAAGGTCATAGGGCAGTATTCTTCAAACTGAAGTATTATATACTCTTCTTGAAAAGGAAGAACATAATTGGTAACCCCTGGTTTTGACTTTAGTTATTTTTATTTAAATTTTGCTTAATGTACGTGAATGTAAAATTAAACTTTTATGTATGGCCCTGTACAAATTAAAACCCAAAACTAATTTACAAGTTAAATATAACCAAGACTAAAAGAATCCCCAAATATTCAGATTAGCAGCATTAGTTGGGTGCCGTGGCTTCTGCTTTTTGAGAATGGAATTGCTCTAAGGGGTCTAGGCATACTTCTTCCTAGGCACAGGCGCTCTGAGCTGGTCGGCCCAATGCCATGTGATCACTTAATTCTCCCCCCCCATTTTCACCCTCCAGTGGCTTTCAGACCTGACCTTGCATCTGAACCACCTGGACAGCTTGTGAAAACCCAGATCCTGGAGCCCTACCCCCAGAGATTCGGATTCTGTGAGTTTGGGGTAGGGCCCAAGAATTTGCAGATCCAACATTTCCAGGTGATGCTGCATACTTTGGGAACCACCCCAAAGTCCATTTCTGTTCCTTTCTTATTAGCCTGTGACAATAAGAGTGCTATATTTTGGGAAAGGTTGTGTGTTGGTAAACACAAATGCAAAAGCAAGCACCGAAATCCAGTGTGTGCTTGGTTATATGGTGGCTGTCCAATGGCCCTGGTTGCGGCTTGTAGGATGTTTTAGTATATCACCAAAAGAAACTCAAAAATAGAACTGCTGAACCTCTGAAGATGTGTCCTGTGTACCCCAGTTTGAGAAACAGTGTATGGTTGGATATTATGAAACATTTACGTGTGGGGGGGGAAATGATACTGTGTAAGAACGAGGCTCCTCCGCTGTAGGTATGAATGCTATGACCAAGACAGAGGTGCCCAGAAGCAAGCAGGGACAGAGAAGACTGGTCTTGTTCCACAACCAAAGGGGAGAAGAGAGAGACCATGGCATAGTACAGGGATGCCTTCCTTGTGCCTAGAGTTGCCCTAGATGGAATGAGCTGCATTGGGGAGGTTGGTAACCGTTGTCTCGAAGGTGGTTCAGGGGCCCCCAAGAACTTTGTGGATGTTCTGGGAGGGTTTCCTATTACAAAAGCCACGTGTCCAAGACCCCTTTGAATGCAGAAATTCTACAACTGGGAGGGTGTGGGGGGCTTCTTAGTTTTCTCTCTGATTGGTCTCCAAGAACCCTCCCAGCCAGGATGTTTAGCTCTGGCTCAAACATATCCACAGTGCAGCCTCGCATGGTAGGTTCCCAAACGCGTTACCAGCCCTAGTGCTCCATCTCTCCGCCCCTCCCGGCTTCTTCAGTTCTGTCACTATTCCCGCCATTCGTCCTGCTTTTCAGGTTTGTGGACAACTTGGCACAACTCCTTCCGATGTCTGTTACTTACTAGCCTGTCTCTCTCTGGCCTGCCGTCCCTCTCACTCAGCCTCCAATAGCAGTGTGCCGATTTACCACCCCAGGCTCCTGCTCCCCAAATTTTTTGGCTGCGGAACTTGTATTCACCCAACATCTGTTCTTGTCCTGGGGAATGCGTTCTGCCAAACACCCAGGGAAATGGCTCTGCGTATGCCTGGTTCATTCTTGTCTCCATCTCGTCTGCCCAGCTTATCATCCCCATTCCAAAGACATAGAAGCTTGCACTTAGATACTCGCCCCTCCCCCCCAGAGGCCACCTGTCTACAAGTACTTACTATAGACCTTTTTCTCCCTTAATTGAACGCCTCTGTGGTCGGAAGCAGCCAAGTTCATTTCTTAAACCCCCTGCGTTCGTCACTACTTGAAAAGATTGTGCTTCGTCATCTGTTGACTTGTTGACTGTCTGTCCCCACAATCCAAGATGGCCGGGCTTCGTCTGGTTCACCCCTACCCAGCACCTATACCACTGCCCGGGGTGGGAGCGAGCCAGCAAGTGTCTATGGCCTGAATGTTTAGGTATCTGTCCCCATAACTCCACTGTGAGTTACAGAGGAGGCACCGGATCTTAGAGTTATGTCTGCAATTTGAGACTGATTTCTGGCTGGAGTCCGTGGACTCTGTACCTGTCGTGATCCGGGGCACTGTAATTCAGAGGCGCCTCGGTGGAACTGGGCCCCAAGGGTCTTTATTTCAGTCAGTCTCACTGGATTTGTTTTGACTGGAAATCCTATTGCCTGTTTTTTAAAACATATTCCCTCAGGCACTTTTGAACACTTGAGACCTCTTGGCAGACAGGCATTTCATCCCCATCAGGAAATCTCATCAAGATGATAAACTAGGTTTGCGTATCAGGAAAATAAAAGTCCTCCAAGAAGATGTTGCCGTTCGCTAGGCTGGCTTTGGGTATAAGCAGTTAAGCCCATTCAGAGGTATTTCGACCACATCTGAGCTACGGGGCCAGGGCTGGGGGAGGCGGAATCTTACAATGAGCAACAATATAAAAAATAAGAGTGGGAAGGAGACACCTCCCCCAACCGCCACCCGGGAAATTCTCTAGTTATAGGCACGAACAGAATTCAAGGGAAAAGCAACAGGACAGTTTTGGGAATGTGACTTTTGTTTCGAAGGACTGACAGGTAATCAGACCTGCCAGCCAGACTGTGGCTTGCCTCCCTGTGCAGGGTCTTGCCCTTTATTTTTTTGTCTAGCTTCCTCCAGGTTCCACCTTATAAGTCATCCTTGGAAGACCACATAATGGCAAGACTTCTTTTACTCAAGGCTCCTAGCATGCTCCTGGTATTTTTCACAGAATTACGTCTGGACTTCCTTCTAGAAGGAAGGACATGGTTTCCCTTCTTTAGGGGGTAGCTCTCGAAGTTCCTTAGACTCCTTTGATCTCCACAGTCCATTGTCCAAGTCTTCACAGGCAAGCTTTTACCCATGCCTTTCACTTTTGCTCCTTCACTGTGGTGGTGAGTTTTCTAGAAAGAAGGCCTCCTGAGGTCAGCATGAAAGTGCCAGGGCTGAAGCTTCGCCAAGCCCATGCCCTATTTGTCTTCCTCTCCCGGGGGCCCCATTCTGGGCTCATGCTTTGGTGTGTCTCTTTTCAGAGGTGTGAACATGTATGCCATGTTGACTGGGACCCTGCCTTTCACGGTGGAGCCTTTTAGCCTGAGGGCTTTGTACCAGAAGATGGTGGACAAGGAAATGAACCCCCTCCCCACCCAGCTCTCCACAGGTAAGGTGCCCGCCGCTCTGGATTCTGGGTTCTAGGACTTGTATGCCTACCAGGTTTGGTCCATCCATGAAGCAGTATTTGCTTTGCAGAAATGGTATTAGGCCTTGTCCTAGGATTAAACTATGACTCAGGGGTGGTTGAGTTTCCCATGGCTAAGCAACCATTCATCTCACCTTGGTCCTTTTCTTCTTCATTATAACTCTGAACCCCTAACTTCCTCCTTCCACACAAAACACACACATCAAAAGGATCTTGGAAAAATAATTGCAGTCTTGATTGTTTTAAAGCTCACCATATTATAATGTTGACTTTGAAAAAAGCATTTATAATCACATTTCTATTGTGCTTTCCTCAGTCAATTCACTGTAAAGAAATATTACTTTTGTTCAGGTTTGGTCTGTGATCTGTTTTGCTATTTGAGGTTTTGAGCCTGTTCAAAAGCTTTTAAATATATGTAGTTTCAGTTACTTGATTAGACTGAATCATCAGGTGTGTTTGGCAAGTATTCTCAAACTTCAGGTGGTTCACGTTTCAGTAAACAGGTCACAGTAAGATTTGGTTTCAGACCCAGTAAATTAGCACAATTTGTTCTTTTGTTTGGGTCACAATTCATTTCAAGTTCCTGGCTTCAGGTTGACCCTGGCAATCATTTAATTGGCTCCTTAGAATAAACTCAGCTTCAGCTTCACTGAGATAAGGCATGCAACCCAAAAAAAAAAGTAATTATTTAATTTCAACTTACAATACATGGTTTAAAATACAGCATTTTTATTTTACTACTGTTATGTATTTTTTCTCTTGAGTTTATAAAGCATCCACGAAGCCTGCCAAATGGAATTCAAGCTGAAATGCATTCTTATATGTCATGATCTAATTTGGTCTGTACTTTGCTAGGGAGGGTAGAATCTCTTGTACCCTCATGCCTACAAAAGGCAGACAGGGCTCACTTTGAATACCACTGAGACCCTGAGGAGCTGGAGAAATGCTTCTCATCATTTTAGTCATGATAGGCCAGGCTATGCTACAGTAACAAATAGCCCCCAAATCTCAGTGGCTTAAGACAACAAAGACTTATTTCTCATTCATGCCACAGATCTGTGGAGAACTGGATCAAGGGTTGGAGGATTCTGCCCCTTCTAGTCAGTCAGAGTCCTAGACTGATGGAGCAGCTACCATTTCAAACATACCTGGTCCATGTGGAGGAAAAGAAAAGTCTAGAACATCTCTCATTTAGCAATTAAGTCTCCCACCAATGTTCTATTCATAACTCCTAACTTTCTAAAGTGTGTCACATGGCTTCACCCAACTAAAGGGGAATGGGGAAATACAACCTTGCTGTGTGTCTAAAAGGCAGAAAACCAGTAACATCTATTGAACAGCATGAGTGTGAGCCACAGGTTGTGGGAGGAAGAACAGGTGGTTCAACCCGGGGTAGTCCCCAGGGTGGGTTGCGCATCAGGGTAAGGGCAGGGAGATTAGCAGCCCAAGAAGTCAGTCTCATTACTTCAGAACTGACATTGTTTTGGGGCACCTGGGTGGTGCAGTCGGGTAAGCTTCCAGCTCTTAGTTTTGGCTCAGGTCATGATCTCAGGGTCCTGGGATGGAGCCCCGCATCGGGCTCCCTACTCAGTGGGGAGTCTGCTTCTCTGCCTCTCTCTCTCCTTCTCTTTCCACCCCTCCGCACCACTTGTGCCCTCAAGAGAGAGAAGGACAAGCACACTCCCTGCTGAGTGTGGAGCCCCACACGGTGCTCAGTTTCACGACCCCAAGGTCATGACCCAGACCTAAACCAAGAGTCAGTTGCTCAACCGACTGAGCCACCCAGGCACCCCAAGAATTGCATTTCTATGTTTGATTTTCCAATTCAGGAATCTGGACTCCTCCCCTAACCTTTTTTTTTTTTTTTTAAACTATTGGGATATATAAGTATTTCTCCTATTTCTCCTCAATGAGGGTTTCATGCCAGGTATCAAGCATGGTGTTTTCACAGAATAGATTCTTGGGGAATCTAGGTTGCTGCCAGAAGGCAGCCCACAGATCCTCCTGCCTGCTCAGGGACAGGATTTGACCCGATGCGCTGGGGTCCTGAGCTGCGTTCTGGCTACTGGAGGGGTACAGGTCATCTTATCTTGTTTACACAGTGAATGACCTCGGTTTCAGAGGTGAGCCCCTGGCCTTCTGATGGCCATTTTCATTAAGCCTCTCACCAGCACATCTTTATTTTTTTTTAAATTTTATTTATTTATTTATTTGAGAGAGAGAGAGAGAGAGAGAGAGAGAGAGAGAGAGAGAACACGCACAGCAGGGAAAGGGGCAGAAGGAGAGGGAGAAGCAGACTCCCTGTTGAGCAGGGAGCCAGATGTGGGGCTTGTTCCCAGGACCCTGGGATCATGACCTGAGCCAAAGGCAGATGCTTCACTGACTGAGCCACCCAGGCGCCCCTCACCAACACATCTTTAATTTCATGATTCTGTCACTCATATTTGCAGTGATCTCTATACATCTATTGTATAATAGTACTCTTTTTTTAGATTAAGTTGGGAGAATTTTTGCCGAGCTGACAAAAAAGGACAGCCCTTGTGAGTCCTTTGTGCATGCTTTTGAAGAATTGCCCCTCATCTCTACCACGTGGTTTGAAAACTTAAGCTTCTGGGCCCTTTCCAATTCTCGCTTCTAGACAGTCTCTTTCTGCTTGTTGGCACTTGCGAATCGCAGAGTTGGGAATGCCTTTCATGGTTTACACATTTTTCAGACAGCTTATCTTTACATCTCTACTTCTCAGTGATGGTGCTTTCATATTCCAGTCACTTCCGAGCCAGGAGGGTTTTGTACCATGAAGTCATGAAAGTGAAGCCAAAGGCGCAAGGGTAGAGCCAGTGCCAACGGGAATCTCTGAGAAGGTTCAACTGTCAAATAATTGTCGTTACTGCTTTTGCCTCGGAGGTGATAAGGAAGGAGACTCGGGTGGGGATAGGACTCCCATTTGCATCTGCTGGGCTACACATCCGATTGGCTTTGTCTGTGTCCTGTAGCCTTTTCCTTAGGCACGGCGTCAAGGTGCTCACACAAACCAGTCCAGACTATGGAAAGCAGACTCCGCATGGAGGGAAGTGAGTTTCGCACTGGAGAAGTGCGTGCCACGTGCGATGTGGAGCAAGGAGGGGGAGCTCTCTGTGCGGGTCATCCCTACCCTGGGGCCTGAACGGAGACCCCAGTTACGACCTTAGAGAGGCCGGGCCCACCATGGCTTTCTAGGACATTGGAGAGTTTTAATCCCTTTTGCTCATGAAACCTAGGAATTTTCAGGATCCTAAGACAAACCTCAAAGAACTCTCCCGATATTTTCAAAGTCCTTTGTGGATAGGAATGCCATGTTGGTGATGTCCAAAGAGATAAAATTCTTCAGTAGAGATTAGAACTAAAATTGCTTGTGCTCATCAGCAATTTGTGAAGATGCCGAGTGCGTGGTTCTGAAAATAGAACAGAAACGCACATCCAGTCTGTTCTTAGTTCTTTGGGTTAATCATACTCTGAAAAAGCCTGGCAGTAGCCTGGGTTGTACAGGTCCTTTGAGGGTAAGCGAGATGTCTCAGAAACGTCATGAACTCACAGCCTCCACATTTCAACAGGGGAAGCCCATATCTTTTTTATTTGACCCAATAGATGGCCCTGATTAGGCATCCAGATGACTCTTGCAATGTAGGGGAGTCGAGAGAAGGGAGGTAGAGGTTCCAGAAAGAGGAACTTCTTCTTCGTCGTCTTTTTTTTTTTGGAGAAAATTTTATTTGGAGACCCAGCTATAAAACTCAGAGTATTAAATGTACTTCATGAGTGAGCTGGTGTCTGCACGTATATTTTTACCCACTCCATTCTTAATGAGAATGGAGACTTTCTGGTGACCACACCAACTGGATGGGAACCCACTGGGGGAGTTACCCGGTGGCATGAGCAAATAAAAATTGTTTCTTTTGGGTGGATTCTGCCATCACCATCAGCCCCTCTTTTGAGCGCTTGATTTCTACACTGAAGAAAATGGGTTGACAGAAAACACCTACCATTCTATAAGAACAGTATTAGAATGACAACTAAAAGCTTGTGAGAAAGTGACTTTTCTTCGAGAGGTTAGATTATGTTAGAAAACTGAAAGATAACTTTGAAGAGAAGGATAGAAAAGTTTGGGAACTGGGGCTCCTGGGTGGCTCAGTCGGTTGAGTGTCCAACTCTCGGTTTCAGCTCAGGTCTTGACCTCATGGGTCGTGGGATCAAGCCCCACATCAGGCTCCATGCTCAGCCGGAGTCTGCTTGGATATTCTCTCTCCCTCTGCCCCTTCTCCAGCACACGCTCTCTCTCTCAAATAAATAAAATCTTAAAAAAAAAAAAGAAAAGAAAAGAATGGGAAACAAGCAAATTAGGACTCTGTTCTGGAGTCTATGACTTGGTCTACTGGAAATTGGATATCATGGACACAGCTACATAAAAGGATATTTTTTATAGTGCCAAGATGATATGAACGTGCTCCGTAAGAGAAGGAGCATAGAATAAAAAGAAAGTCATAATTGCACAACTCAAGCAAGACAGACCATCTTCATTTTGAAGTAATCCCTGGCATTCTTTGTCCATATGTGTTCATGCGTATTCTCCTGCTAGCAATTTTGGAGCCTGTGACCTTCCTGTGCATTATACACATGTTTTCCCATGTCATGCAGTTGTCTTACATTGTTATAATCTTCAGGGATGCAAATATCTACTTAGAGATGAACCAGCTTCCTATCCTTAGTGCCCGGATGGACAGCAGGTGCTTTGTTAAATATTCGTCTAATGAAAGGAGACCCAGGGCATTTTTTGCCTGGGATGGAAAGGAAAGGGGGCTGGAGGGATTTTATAGTTTGTCAGTTGCTTCTCATATTCTTTCCTACATACCATGCTCAGCATAACTGATATGACCACAGCAAACTTCGGTCAGCTGCAAAATAAGGACAAACTTGATTGGCATACATTCTGCCCAAGCAGCCCCTTCATTTTGAGGGAGAGCACAAAAGGAAAGGGCCTATCAAGTAGACGTGGGTTTATAGTGTGGTGCTTACTGGAACTTGGTACGCAAACTAGGCATTTAAAACTTGGGTGGCTGTTACAGAGTTGACTTACACTTTTGCTGAAGCTGGCTCTCTGATGGGCTTGGCTGCATGGGCGTGGGCTCTGGCTGGTCTGGGCACTGTTTTGTCCGTTCAGAGTCTGGGGACTAAGTGGACGGCCATGCAAAATGGCTTTAAAAGAAAGAACAAGGGGTGCCCGGGTGGTTCATTCAGTTAAACGCCTGACTCTCGATTTCAGCTCAGGTTGTGATCTCAGGGTTGTGAGATGGAGCCCCATGTCAGGCTCCGTGCTGGGCATGGACCCTGCTTAGGATTCTCTCTCCCTTTCCCTCTGCCCCTCCCCACCCCTCTCCCCAATTCTTTAAAAAAAAAAAAGACCAGAAAGAAAGCAGGACCTCCCTTGGTCTCTTGAGACTCTGTGTGTCACATGGTGAGAGGCAAGTTAGAAGGTATAATTCAGAGTGCCTTTACCCTCTGGTTCCTTTCTGAGTACTTCCTCAAAAACCCACCTTGAGAACAAGCATTTTCTCTTTACTTTCTTTTATCCCTTCAAGCATGGAAATAGAACAGCTCTTGGGCTCACCTTTAGAGATGGGCTGCAAGATCAGACCACAGGTTGTCCTGGGAAGTGCAGGGCATGGGGAGACCCGAATTGGGTCTTGCTTCACCGATATCTGCCCTTGGACAGATATCTTAAACTCTTTGGACTTGAGGCACCCGGAGATCTGGGGAATAGACCAGTGCTGGCCATGACTCAGGAGCAGGGGTGGACCACCTGCCTTGAGTCTCGGTGGCATCTGCATTCGGTCTGTGACATAGGTATGTTTGCCTAATGTCTTCCCAGGTGCCATCAACTTCCTGCGCTCTCTCCTGGAACCAGATCCTGTGAAGAGGCCCAATATTCAGCAAGCACTGGCGAATCGTTGGCTTAATGAGAATTACACGGGCAAAGTGCCGTGTAATGTCACCTATCCCAACAGGTAAGTACACACAGAGGGACCCCTTCTCAGGCCAGATGGGGCTGCCTCCTGAGCCCTGAATACTTCTGGACAGGAAGTGGTACATGATTCAAGGAAAAGCTGCGTTTTCTCTTCGCTGCCCATCCCCCACTCTGTGCCCACACATCCAGGGACAGGCCCACCTCAGTGCACAAGAGGAAGGGTAGAGGGGGCTATCCCATGTGGTTGTGCAGACTGTGCCCTGCACAGGGCACCCAGCAGAGGGTGGGTGGAGCCTGGAATCCACGCCACATTCCCCTTGTCATTCTTGCTCCAGGGGCTTACATCTTCACAGAGTGGCACCTCTTTCTAATTCACACAAAGGGACCGTTCAGACTAGCTGTGGCCTGAGTGTGTGTGTGCGTGTGTGTGTGTGTGTTTGAGTGTGTCTGTGATGGTATCTGGTTGTATTTGAGTGTGTGTGAGATCCATTCCTGGGCTCTCCCACCAGCCTCAGGCAGAATCCAGTGGGATTGGCCCTCTCCCCATTCAAACCACCCCTCGGGCCCCTCTTCTGCATCTTTGCTCCGATGTTTAGTTTAGCCCCGAGTCCCCTGCTCGGAATGGTGGGGTCAAGAAGAAAAGGCGGTAGAAGGAGACGGTTGCTTCAGGCTGTGTTTCCCTGTGGACTTCCTGTGAAGGCTTCACCTTAGCAGCTTCCAAGAGGAGAATGCTTCAGGCAAGGCTCGCAGGCGGGGATCCACACTGTGGAAACCCTGAGGGGCACCTCGTGGTGGCCCACATGTCGCCATTGCTGCCGTACTGACTACAGATTTGAAAACAAGTATAAGAAAACATTCCCTTGTACTTTCTTCCTACTCATTTGACATATTGTTAACTGCCCCCAGTGAAGGCATGAGGCCCCTCCCCTTGGTTCCTTTACAGCAAACATGAAGACCACATGGGTCAAATACCTTCCAGTTCTGGGACCCACACTCTAGGGCCTGGGCCTACTCACTGTAATCTGAAGCCCAGATGAGAACAAGGACCACTGATGAGGGGGACAGATATTTTTCAGAATGTCCAGGAAGGTCTGGAAACATCCACCAAGCCGTAGGAAAGCTGTCACACAGAGTTCTCCAAATAGGATGGGCAGGCAGGGCTCTGTCTTGGGGAGAAAGTTCTAGAAGAACTTTAAGAGGCCACAGATGGAGTTTGCATCCATGCTACTGAGCCAAATTTACACTCACTGTGAGTATAGATGAGGTAGTTTCACTCCATTGCCATCTAGAATTCTAGCATTTGACTCTTGAGAAGTAATTTAAACCAAGTCTAGGTTACTCAGGTTACCGGGGGAACCTGGAAATATACTGCTGGTTTCCACCACTGGCTCCACTTGGCCCGTGTCTGAAACAGACACCAGAAATATTACCTCAACGTGAGATGGAAAGCAAAGCCGAGGAGCCATGGCTCATTACCAATGCTCACGAAGGACGGCAGCACACAGGTATGCTTTCCACTAGAGGAGGGGCTGCTGGTGGCGGCCACGTGAGTCATTAAGCTAACGTAATCACTGCCTAAATGAGCATAATCAATCCACCCAGGGTGGCAGCTGTTGGAAGGAAGCGGAGCTGGCATTAGAAATAGTCTCCCCCTCCTTGTTGGCCACATCCTCATGCACAAAGAATCCTACCGTGGCGCCTCATTCGGGAGCTTTTCCACAGGTGGTCGTCAGGCATTTGTAGATTAAACCAAATTCAAGGGTCCTGTACTGGATTTTGCCAGATTAGCAATTTTTTTTTGCCTTTGGACTTGGTCAGAAGCGTAAAGGCTGCACATGAACTAGCCGGGTTGTGAAAATGGTTAAGATCATGTCTGTTAAAGGAAACAGCCGCTTACTATCTTCTGTTTATACAAGGCCCACTGCTCATTTTGTACCGGAGGCAAATCACTGTTCTGTTTTAAAGTACCAAAACCAGAAATCTGAACTCTTGCGGGAGGTAGGTTTTTTACAGTCTTGATTTTGAAAAATGTGTAAGGCAAAAAAAGAAAGAAAGAAACAGTGCTTTTGATAGTTATTTTTCTGGTTTGACCAGAGCACAGATAAATGGAGTCAGAGCATGTGATCAGGGAAAGGAATATGGACTGTATTAAAGTATATTTTATAGCTTCCCAACAAACCTAGCCTCAGATTTCATTATTTTAGATGTTGTTAAAAATGTTTTACTTTGGGGAAAGAACAAAAATACAGGGCTTATGTTTTGTATCACTCTTCTGTAAAGCCTTCTGTTAAGTCATTTGGGCTTCCAAGTTGATCTCCAAAAGGCAAGAGGAAAATATCTTTAAAAGTCAACTTTTTATAATAAATATTCATGCCAGTCAGTCAACAGTTTGCTGTGCAGGGGCCAGCCTCCCTGTGTGCTAGAAGCAGATATTTTTAGGGAGATAACCTTGGCTGCCTTCCTCCATCGCCCTGCTCGAGCCTGGACGGTCTCCCGCCCTCCAGTTAGCTCTGGAGGTGGGCGGGAGGGAAAGGAGGTCATTGGCAACAGGGTGAAATTAGGCCAAAGTGGTATAATAGGTTATTTAATGCAGATTTACTTAGAATTATACCTGGTGTTCTGGAACGTTTTACTAGTGTCCAAACGTGGGGAGATAGTCAAAATTAAGTAACCGATTGCAGACTTCCAAATATACACGTTGCTTATTGAAAATGTTTGGTACTCTCAGTCAACAGAGTCGACAGTGTCTTTGGGCAGAGCTCTCGTGTTTCTGAAGAAAGTGGCTATAGAAGGGCAGAGATGGGGTGCCTGCCCCTGCTTACTGCCCCCTTCTCACCGCCACCCCCGAGCCCCACCCTGGTGGCACCCCTCTTCCGGGGCCTGCTGCGGGTAGGGGGGGCGGGCTGCTGAGGGTGGCGGCCGGTTGATTGGCCAGGGGCGGCTCACGCAGCTGTGATCTGATTGGCCAGGGGTGAGGCCATGGGGCCGTGGTCTGATTGGCCAAGGACAAGACACAGGGCCATGGTCTGATTGGCCAGGGGCAGGGCCACGCCCACACAGTCATTACTGGATAGTTTCCAAAATCGAGCTTTCTGCTTTAGTAAGTGCTTTGGCAAACTTCAAGTAATTGTATTCTTTTTTAAGAAACATTGTTTTTACCGCTAGTCATTCCAAACCACCCCCCATCAGTTATCTAGAATTTGATTTTATGGCCAACAAGGAGGAGAAGGCGGATTTTGAGTTTCCTTGGGTGCATTTTCTTTGGATGGCACTCCCTCTAACGAGGGAGTGCTGCTGTAGGTTATACCGATGGGTGGTGGAAGATGGTCCGCAAACCTAGGTCTGCCCTTGCTGCCCTTTTCAGCTGGCCTGTAAATTTGGCAAGTCAGTTTCCTCTTCTGTATCATTATGGACTTGTCCTGTGTGGTTTCTCAGGGCATTATGGTCCGAGGTCCCATAAAAAATGTCCTCGGACCCTTGGTGGAGGGTGGGCTACAGAGCTCTCTGGCCGGATGTGCTTGCATTCCCCTCAGAGTGCCCTATTTATATCTCTCTTAAGGGATTTAGAATGTTCTGTTTGATGATGTACCATCGCACGCACACTCTATACTCCTCAGACTGCTTTCTTGTTCTCCCTAGCCCTTCCTCGTGTCTATTTGAGAGCTGCTGAGTGTAGAGGTTTAGCATCTTAGACTCTGAGCCAGGCTGCCAGGGTTTGAATTCTGGGGCTCCTCCTTCCTGCCTATGGGACCCCCAAGGCAAGTCACTTCACAGGTGTGGGCCTCAGTTTCTTCCATCTGTAACATGGGGATACTAATAGTACCTACTCATAAGATTTTCATGAAGGCTAAATGAATTTATTTCATCTGTTCCCCACTGCAATGTCGACTCCACAAAACAGGGACTTGTTGAAGGAATGAATAAACGAACGAGTGGATGAGTAGATAAATGAATAGCAGGCATTCATTTCTAACCAAGGAATTTATCTTCATAAGAAGCTTTAATCTGTCCTCTGAGAGCACCCTACTTTATGGCCGAGCCCCCAGTTCCCTTTTGTGAACGCGGGATCCCACACTGTTCCTTTAACACAGTCTGGGTTGGCTCCTGAATGTGCTCCTTTCCCAGCCCAACTTACATCCAACTCAAGTGTGGGCTCTACCCACGTCCAATAAACACATTTTTAGAAAAGAGTGCCAGATTGTAAAGCAATTCAGGGATAATTGGGGGAAATTTGAATATAGTCTAGATATTAGAGAATACTAAGAAATTATTACAAATTATTAAATTATTGAGTATGTGGATGGTATTGTGATTCTGTAGGAGATGTCCTTGGATCTTAAAGGTACACACTGGGGTGTGTAAGAATGAAAGGTCATGATGCCTGTGATTTAAAATACTTGAGCACTAAATAAACAAATAAATAAATGAAGAAAATAGGGCAAAGTGTTAACAGTGGTGTATTCTGGTGTTGGGTACACAAAGGGTATTTATACTCTTCTCACTAGTTCTCTGTCTGTGTGACATTGTTCATAATAAAAAAGTCAAGTGAATGAATGAATGGATGGTTGGACACGATTGTTCATAGGGGCCCTGATTGGTGGGGGGCGGTGGGATGCTTTGTGCCGCCATGTTTGTGAGCATCACTGAGGAGGCCCTGGAGCCCCTCAGTGGAGGTGGAGAGGTGACCGGTGCTCTCTCTGCTGGGCAGGATTTCCCTGGAGGACCTGAGCCCAAGTGTGGTGCTTCACATGACGGAGAAGCTGGGTTACAAGAACAGCGACGTGATCAACACTGTGCTCTCCAACCGCGCCTGCCACATCCTCGCCATCTACTTCCTCTTAAACAAGAAACTTGAGCGCTATTTGTCAGGGGTGAGTGGGGCCCTAGTGGCAGTTTTCTCTGCTCTCCATGGAAAAAGGAGCTCTTACACCTAGAGTGTTTCTCAGTTGCTGACACTTGATCTGAGCTGTTAATTTAAACTAAATGGGAGGCTGAGTTTCTGAATGTGGGATAAAATAGTAGCAAAACCTGCTTCTCAGGTAGCTAGCGCTTTTTACCTGAGGTGTTTTTCAAATATCCTCCCACAGAGGTAAGCCCTGGGCGGCACTGTGGGAGATTCAAGCCACTTTCCCCTTCAGTTTCTCTCTTGCGTTTTCTGTCTGCCTCTGAGCTCCTTGGGTTCCCATGTTAAAGGCATTAGGACTTCTGTGGTCATAAAAGTTGGGGAGCAATGCCTCTCAGGCATTCATCTCTAAAGCATGATTTATGAGGAAGCCATTATTTATATTTACTTCTCTGGAAAGTAAAATGAAACTGAGCTTTACTAGCTTGACCCTGGTGCCTTCAGTCTGGGCGTCAGAGAGTAGGTGTCCTGTGCAACAGGTGAGGTACCCTCATGCCTTGGTCACCTTTGTCCTTCTGCCACAAGCAGTTCACCTATGCCTGGGGAAGGAATGTACATGCTTCGGTGTCTAGTTTTGACTAAATCATCTCTCTCTGCTTAATAATTCTGCATGGAAAACTTGATCAAAGGCAGTATGGTTCTGCATACCACTCCTGTTTCTCCTCCTCGGAATGGTGGAGGCTGACGGGTTCTGATAGGAAGTCAGCCTGTTAGAGAGATTCAGAATTGTCAGGAAGCCCATTGGAAATTTGATTGCAAATCCACTGTCACGAAGGGCGACCCTCACCCTGTGTACATGGCACCTTGGGATCTGATGGTGTGGGACTGTCATGGTTAGGAAGACATTTAGAAAACAGAACATGAAGAGCTTCTAGAGCTTTTTCAGTGCGCTATTTTTTTTTCAGTGCAATTTAAAGTCATGTGATAGCCAACTCAGTGTTTCGCAAAATTCCACTAAACAATAGGCTTAGAAACCTTTTGTGAGGTTTCTCTGTTAGCGCTAAAGATGAAAATCCACCTACAGTTGGGGAAATGATATTCTCCCTGTCATGGCAGAAAGGACCACACAATAATGCCCAGAAGACAAGATGGTCAGAGTGTGTCTCTTTAGCAAATAGATTTGGGAGATGTCTAGAAAACGTGCTGAATAGACCAAGAAGCTCATTGGGAGGTTTGTTAACAGTTGGACGAGAGTGCAGATGTTTCTAAGCTGACTCAGCTTAGGGAATTTGTTCAATTTTGCTCCAGTGGGAAATTATCCACAGAAGTACTTTTTGGGTGAACCACCAAAAGAAAGATGTACATGAGGAGAAGCATTCTCAACAGTAAAAGGCTTTTAAAAATAAGATCAGTGTTTTATGGGGGGGTGGGGCGCGGGAACATGCCCTGCGTCCGCAGTGATGGGATGACGCTTCTGATGGGGACAAATACGCAGCTTTGAGATGGTGTCACAGTTGCAGGAAAGCTACTGTAGGAGAGAAGTTGAGACCAGAAAGACAGGACCCTTGACAGTTTTTTTTTTTAAGATTATTTATTTGGGAGAGAGAAAGCGCGTGCGTGCGCGGGTACAAGTGCTGGGGGGAAGGGGCAGAGGGAGAGATTCTTAAGCAGATTCCATGCTGAGCTCAGAGCCTGTTGCAGGGCTTGACCTCATGACCCTGAGATCAGGACCCTGAGATCAGGACCTGAACCAAAACCAAGAATTGAACGCTTAAGCGACTGCGCCACCTAGGTGCTGTGACACAGTATATTTTTTATATCATTTTATTATGTGATAAGGAGTAAGAAAATCTCTTGTACTGTGCCCAGGTTCTCTGTTCTCTCGTGATAATGAACTTAAAAGATACTGGACTTGAAGCTGCTTCCCGTTTCCTTTTTGTGAGACCACATGCCCCATGTTTCTTTCTTATCTTATCCTTTTAAATTCTATTTGATATGTATTTTATCATGTATGTGACCTGTTAGTACAGTGGTACATGCTTATAGTTGTAAATAAATATGCATATATTATAGGTGCCTTCCTATACGTTTTTCACTTATATGGGTTCAAGGTCATACCATTTGGGGACCACTGTGGTAGAAGATAGTAGTTAAGAATTTAAATAGCTGTCAAGCAAAAGGAAGAAAAGAGGATCAACACACTGATTTTTTTTTCAAATGATGACTGTTGTCCAAAAATTAGTTTTTAGAAAGTGTCTCCATGAAGCTGACTATCAAATTCACAATTCCATATTTAAAGGGTGAAATTGCTACTTTCCTAAATAAGCTAGCCGATTCAAACATTCTTTTGGCAGAACTTCTTTGGATGCCGATCGATAAGATGGAGGGACTTTTGGGGTTTTTTGTTTTGTTGTTTTTTTAAGATTTTATTTTTAAGTAATCTCTACACCCAACGTGGGGCTTGAACTCACAACCCAGAGATCAATAGTCACACACTCTACTGACTGAGCCAGCAAGGCACCCCAAGGGACTTTATTTATTTATTTATTTATTTATTTATTTATTATGATTCATTTATTTATTTTTAGACAGAGCGAGTGAGCGAGCATGCACATGAGCAGGGGGAGGGGCAGAGGGAGAAGGAGAGAGAGAATCTCAAGCAGACTCCACACTGAGTGCATAGTCCGACATGGGGCTTGATCTCACGACCCTGAGATCACGACCTGAGCCAAAACCAAGAGCCTGAAGCTCAACCGACTGAGCCACCAGGCGCCCCAGGACTTTAGTTTTTAAAATATTTTCTTTCCTCTGTCTCCACATGTACAGATACACATTTTGGTTACTCACACTCTTCCTAAACAATCACTAAAGCTCTTAGGCTGTGTCTTGATTTGTCTTTGTTTCTTGCCATCTGCTTGTTTCTGTTCCTGCGCTCTGCCCAGCATTGGGGTGGCATGCAAGTGTTGCAAAGCCGAGCCGGTCTTTGTCTACCGAGAACGTTCCCTGGAAACTCAGCTAATGTGGTTCTCGCTGGAGAAGGTTTTTATTGTGTTGTGTCTGTTTTGCACTTAACCCTTCAATCATAGGACATACCTGGTCTGAGAACCAGCGTCTAGGCGTGGGGCTGCTTTTAACTAGAGTGAATTAATCCCCACGGAAAGCTACAGCTGGTCTGCTCCATAATTTCCACACACGGGTAATTTAATTGCATGGTATGCACTGTCCCAGCTATTAATCTCATCAACCAATTACTAACAACCCAAGTATAATTTTAAAACTGAAACTAGTGAACTAAAAAGTAAAATACATACCTTAACAATTCCTTAATTATTTGTCATTTCTCCTTTTCTCTCTTGGTTGTCATTTCTTCTTCCTAAAACCAAGAAGCGTGGACTTTATGTTGGGGCCTTATGTAAGGCCATTCCGTGAATATTTGTTGGTTGGCAAACTAATTAGTCATTTAATTCACCCGTCTCCAGACAGGATTGCATGTCAATCATGCACCTAGATCATCTTAGATACAGTTTGCCATCATCTTTAAGCTGTATTATGAATTGCTGTGACTCACTGGGGGGTGGGGCAGATGAGGCTTATTGTTTTTCAATAAGCCAATAAGCAAGGTCCATATCCGGTTTAATAGGTCAATAAAATAAGTTATTCTTTCTAGCTCACGTATTTGGTTTCTGCTTTCACATCTTAGAGTAGCCTTTATTGCACTGATGAAAAATCTGAGACCAGCAAGGAGAGGTGATGTGCCCAGGGTCAACAGTAGGAGGTTGCCTGACTCTGGGTCCGGGGCTCCCCCACTTACCGCATCCCGCCTGCAGGCCATCCTCAGATGAGGCTTTGCATCGCAATTAACTGGCTTGCCAACCACTTTTGACAGTGCTGCTTTAAAAATGAACGACTACTTAATGGACATTTCTGCTTCCTGTGAGTTAAGCCATGCTTTCCCCCCCTTCTTCTCTGATAGAAATCTGACATCCAGGACAGCATTTGCTACAAGACCCAGCTCTACCAGATAGAAAAGTGCAGGCCCACCAAGGAGCCCTACGAGGTGAGTGACCCCCAAAGCAAAACCCAGGGTCGCTTAGGAAGAGTGGATTCCCATTTGGAGAGCAGAATGGACAGGAAACCAATGATGGTGGGACACAGAAGCAGCAAAAGACAAATACTTACTGGCTTAACTGAGCCCCGAAAGATGGTTTCCAGTCGAGCCACGATCTCTCAGTCGTCAGACTGTGTGGTTCTCAGCTGTGGCCACACATTAGAATCACCCGGGAGCATTTAAATATGTGGGTGCACAGATGCACCTCAGACCAATTCCACTGAATCTCATGGGGCAGGAATCGGGGGCAGAGGGTGGTGGTGGGGGGCTCAGTATTTTTTAAAGGTCCCTGGCTGATGCCATTGAGTGTCCAAGGTTGGAAACCATTGTGAGGTCTTCAAAAGGCAAAAATGAGATACTCAAAAATATACATGAGTGTAACGCTTGGCATCAGAAGGAAAAAGTAAAATGAGGGACAGGAAAAAGTGCTGGATGAAAGCAAGCTTTTCCGGGCACCTGTCCTTGACAACTTGATGCTACCTAGTACATACGTAAGAGAAGATACCAAGATTCTTTGATTTCAGAGTAAAAACTAGTATCGTATGGCAAGTTGTACCAATTTTGGACCCCACATGCGTGCTTGGGAAGAGACTGTGCCTGGGAAGCCAGATCCGGGGCCCGGGGTGAGGCCGCCCCCACCCACCCACCCACCCACCCACCCCGGACTCCTCACTCCGTGCTTTGTCAGATGTGGCTTCTCTGCCTTCTCACTAATTTTCCTGGGAATCTGCTTGACTTCCCCTCCCAAGCCTCCAGAATGTTTTCGTTTGAGGAGAGATCAAAAGGGGAGCCCTCCTTCCTCCCTGCCCTGCTTGAGGTCGACGGGCCTGCCCGCTTCCCTCCTCCCTTTTCGGACTCCGTTTTCATCCTGATTATCGCACAAGCCGGGCCTGTCACCAGAGAAGGAAGTTCTCCCGGCTTTTTCTTGCGCGAAGGCTGCAGTGAGGGTGGGTGGTGACTGAGCATCATGCCAGGCTCCTTGGCAGCGACAGCACGTGCGGCATGGCCCAAGCCAGTCCAGTAACACAGGTGACACAGAGCTTGTCACGTGTAAAGGTGACAGGAGCCCAGGGAAGGCCACCGCTGAGCGTCAAGGCGGGGCAGAATGGCACGGCTGTCCCATCTAGGCACAGCCTAGGGGACAGTGAGATTGAAGGAGGTGGGGATGAGGAGGACGGTGGCAAGGATGACCGGGGTGGCCAGGGAGCGTGCCGGAGACCCTGCTGGGAATGGCACCAGGGAGACCATGGGAGAGGCCGAGTGTAAAATGGTCAGCGGTGTCGGCTGAGCAGTTAGTTAGACCCTGGGGGCTCCTACAGAGACCCGCTCGTGGAAGTGGCCAAGGCAGAAAGAGCTTGCATGGGCTTCAGAAGGGGACGAAGGGAGGTGGAGACAGTGAGCGTAGACCTCTCTGTCGGTGGCACTGGCAGTGAAGGGAAGGAAGAGGCCGTGCCCCCCCCACCCCCTGCTTGAAGGATACGGGGTTGGGAGGAGTGAGGGCAGAGGAAGTTGGGAGGGACTCCAGGGATGGCTGGGGGTGGTGACCCCAGACCGGAGGCCTCCTTCCTCTGAGACAGGCTGCAGCACCAGCATGATGAGGATGCGCATCAGCTTTTGGGGGGGCCGGGTGTGCGCTGGGGCTGAGCAGCAAGCCCACGCATGGCTTTCAGGCTGAGGGCAGGAGGGCGGAAGTAGTGTAGGGGCCAGACTCCCCTGAGCTCCAGACCCCTCCGGCCGGTTGCTTGCTAAACCTCTTCCTGCATGAGCGAAGGTGTCCCCAAACCAGTGTGCCTGGACCCGGCCCACCCCCAGGGTCTCTGCAGATGGCAGCCCCACCCCCAAGTACAGGGCAGAAACCCGGGAGTTACTTTCCCTCAGCCTCAGATCCTGTCAGCAGGATCTGCCAGCTTGACGCCTAAACCTCTCAAACCCCAACACCCCCTCCATCTCTGCCCTCCCACCCCATCCCAGACAGCACCGCCTCCGGCCTGGATGTTGGCCACAGCCCTAACTGGTCGCCCCCCCTTCCCCATGAACCCCTGGCCCTCCCTTTTTTGCACACCAGCCAGAGCCGAGCCATCCACACTCAGATGGGATCACGTCACTTCCCTGCTGCAAGCCTTCGAAGGCTTCCTTAACCTGGAAGGCAAAGTCGGTGACATGGCCGCCATATCGCGGATTAGACTGGCGTCTGCTTGCCTCTCCAGCCTTGTCCCCCGGACCCACACACACAGCCCTGCTTCTTGCTGTGGGCTCAGACCCACGGGGCCTTTCAGACTTCTGTGCTCTCTTGGCTCCCGGCGCTGTGTACACCCTGTTCCCTCTTCCAGAATGTTCCCCTCACCTCTCTTTGCTGATTGGTATCTTCTGTCTTCAGATTCCAACCCCTGCCATTCTCTGACCTCTGCCATTGGGTCCCATCTCTCTACAGGCTGTCACACCCCATTCTGCATCCTGGAGCTCGTCCCATTTGCACGTTCTGTTTGCTCAGGGAGTGTTTGACTCAGATCTCTCTCCCACTCTGGACCGTGAGTTCCATAAGAGCAGGGAGTGTGTCCCTTTTGCTCCTCACAGTATCCCTAGAGTCCCACACAATGCTCTGGCATGCAGCAGGCGCTCAGCAAATATTTGCTAAATGAACAAATGGAAGAATCGGGTGGATCTTGCCCCGGGTCGCAGGCAGAATTGGGACCACAAGGGAAGAAGGCGGAATGATCCAGGCGGGACACCTAGCTTGACTGCAGTGGCAGACCCACCTGCAGCCTAGCACCTAAGTCTCACTGTCATTACCAGGTGCCCAAGCCCTAAGGCAGGGAGGGACATCTCCTGGTCACTTGCTCAGAGGGTTGTCACCTCACCTGGGGTGCAGAGGATGCAGAATTCACCGTGATGCTCTCTTGCCTCTTGGTCTGCATTTGACTCTTGAGGGCCTCAAGTAACAATGCACCCAGTGCCCCATGCGTGTGCCCGCAATGGCCTCCGAGCCACCTTGCTGACGTCTGTGTCCTCGGTTGCCCTCGAACCTGACCCCTGCGATTGTTTGTTTGAAAGCGTCTGTCATGGGAAAGGGGCCGTTTTTTTTTCCCCCCACCCAGATTATTTTTCTCTGATGATTATCTCATTTGGCCTGAAAACACATGGCGAGTGTTTTAAACATTTGTTGAAATATTTAACAGGGTTTAAATAGGAACGCTAATGGGAAAAGAGCATTTCAATTTTCTATGATCCGTTTGTTTTCTCCAAATGGCAGCGATACTTGTACTAATTAAATTATGAGCCGTTACTAGATTATCTAACCTGCCTCTGTTGGAGCCCAGAGAGTGAATGGGGCCAGTTAGAAAACATGTTCAGAGGAGCTGAAAGGGCCCAGGGTTTCTAGGTGAAGCCGCCTCCTCAGAGCCTCCGTGCGCCTCCTTCCAATCGCCAGGCGCTGGTCCAGGAGAAGCCGCAGGGAGGGGGATGGGTTTCAGGTCACCCGCATGCGGGCTGGCTGGGGGGGTGGAGGGGGGCTCGGGGCCCACGTCCTGGCCCCGGGAGCGCGCGTGGCCTCTTTGTTCTTCTCAGTTCCAGTTCTTTTTCTCCTCGGAGACAAAAGAGCTGAATTAAGTTGAGAAAATGTCCCCCTTGGGATTACAGGACTGTTCTTGGACGACTTCTTTCCTCCTGTTCCTTTCTCCTCCTCGTCTTTCTCCTCTTCTTCCTTTAAAAGGTGGCATATATGTCTGTAAAAGTGGGACACATGTCTCATCTGAGAACGCCTCGAGCATGTGCCCCCAGGGACTCCTCTTCCTTAAGAAAAAAAAAAAAGAGGCCCTCGAGGATGGGGGAGGTCGAGGAGGGGCAGTCGTCATTTTGAAACTGGCTTCTGAGAGCCACATAGAGCCGGAGGTCATGTTTGTTAAAGTCCACTAAGGTGCGGGGAGCAATGTCAGCTCGGCCTCGGAGGGCTTCTCGGCAGCACAGTCACGGGGCAGCGTGGGAAGGACGCTGTGCGGGGGGTGGTGGCAGAGGGACCGGATCCGTGTGCAGGGGCTGCCGTAACAAAGGGTCACACACAGGGTGCCGAGCAGCAGGGATTCGCTGTCCCTCAGTTCCGGAGGCCACAAGTCCGAGCTCAAGGCTGGTTCCCTTCAAGGGCAGCGAGGGGAGAAGCTGTCCTGTGCCTCCTAGCTACTGGGGGTTACCGGGATCTTGGGGGTTCCTCGGGTTTGGGGTTCCTTGGCTTATAGCACCACTGATCTCTGCCTGCAGCTCTTCTCTGCAGGTGCGTCTCTATGTCCAGTTTCCCCCCTTTTATGAGAATCTCAGTCCCACTGCATTGGGGCTGGATGACCTCCGTAAAGGTGACTCCCCAGCAGGCCCCCTCCTCAAAGGCGAAGGCGAGTGCGCTTTCGCACTCCCCTTTCCCCCAAGCATCAAAGGGGACAGGATCCGCTGCCCATCCTGACTGTCTTCCAAGAAGGTCACATTCTGAGGTCCTGGGGGTGAGGACTCCGATATAGGAACTTGGGGGGAATGCAGTTCAACCCATCGCAGGGGCAGTAAGTTTAAAGGGAAAATACTAAAATGTTTGCTTTTGGTGTGTTTCAAATCTATGCAACTTGTAAAAATAAAGTCTGGAATCAGATCAGACAATCTGTGCTGTTGGAAATCGGAATGGTGGTTACCTTTGGGGGCTGGGAGAGGACACCGGTGGGGGTACCAGTTGGGTTCTGTATCTTGATCTGGGTGCTGCTTCCGTGCATGCTTTTGCTCTTGGAGAAAATGCATTGGTTGAACCGCTTCCTTGCCAGGAGAGCACTCCTCCATTAGGTGTCTTAGACTTAATAAAAACTAACCTAGAAAATCTCTTCAGTGCATGAAGTAGAATATCTGCTGCCTAGGTGCATGATGGTTTAGGAGTTTGGCTTCTTGTCTCTAAACATTGAAATGAATAATTCTCAGCCAGAGCTGCAAGTGGTAGGGGATAGAGTTTAGGGGATAAACGGCAGGTACAGCTTCTTAAATTGTTGAAAATGTTGCTTTTCATAGGCCTCCCTGGACACCTGGACAAGAGACCTTGAATTCCATGCTGTGCAAGTAAGAACCTGGGGGTTATGATGGATTAGTTCGAGTTCTCCAGGAAGAACCAACAGAGAGAGAGAGAGAGAGAGAGAGAGAGAGAGAGAGAGTGTGTGTGTGTGTGTGTGTGTGTGTGTGTGTGTGTGATGCCTGGATACCCAGGGAAAAGTGGATGTTTCAGCTCAGTCCCAAGGCCTTCTGGAAGCAGAATTCCTTCTTCCTCAGGACACTTCAGTCTTTTCCTCTTACTGCCTTCAACTGATTGCATGAGGCCCACCCACACTGTGGGGGTTCCTCTGCTTTACTCAAAGCCTACTGAGTTAATTGCATCTAAAAAATACCTTCACAACATCTAGACTGCTGTTTGACCAAACACTGGGTACCATGGCCTAGCCAAGTTGACACTTGAAATTAACCATCACATATGACCCTGAAGGTTGGTGGGTCTTTGCTCAGGGCTCTCTGGATTCTACGTACCCCCATCCCGGTCTGGAATTAAAATGCAGAATCCGATTGGAAGTGGGTTTATTGGAATCCCCTCAGATCAGACTGGTGCTTTCTATGTTTAGTTGACCATTTTTTATTGTCTTGTTGTAACTATACACTTGGCTATGCATTCATGTTTCTACCTATATGAGAAGTGGGCTGTGCAACAGTCCAGAGCTTCTGTGGCCTAATTTATGAACCAGGCCCTCTTTTTCTCAACTCTGTTGTGTTTTTCCTGTGGCAAAATCAGATCTCTGTGGCTTTCCCAAAGGAACCAGCAACCAACACCTGGACCCCTAGGCCATCCCAGTGGAAGGTCACCCTGTTACACTCACAGATGCAAAGCTGGGGAGGAAGGCAGAGGGGGCCCACTCTTTGGAACACAGGAGACTAGAGTCACAGGGATGAGTCTCAAGGGACCAGCCCTGGGGCTCAGATCTCAGAGGCCGAGGACCTGCTTTTCCTCCTCCCACTGCCTGTTGGGCTTGCAGACCGATCCTTCCAGAAGCCCAGTGCACCATCACTCACTAGCTTCTTCCTCTTTCCTCTCAAACAATCATGACACTGGAAGAGTCTTGGGTAGACAGTCCTTTATGAGGCTACATTTTCAAAGTGTCCAGTTTTGTCAATGTCCACGCACTTGTGCAGTGGGCGGAATGTGGTTTATAGGGAACTGGAAGCTGTTTTGTGTGGGGCTTGCTTCTGGGGCCTCACGGGGTCCCCTCTCTCATCTGCCTTGGGGAGTTTGGTTGGGGGTGTTGCGGGTGTGGGGAGTCTGTGAGAATCAGAAGAAAGCCAAAGAGAGGCTTCACTGGGAGGGGAGTGGGTGTGGGCATGTCGAAGGGGAAAATAATGAGTCCCTCTGAAGAGCTGTTTCTTTTACATAAAGCACTTTTGCATCCTGTTCCCTAGATCTCTTGTGGAGAAAATAGGGCATGCAAATGAAGAGATATAATTGGATGATTGGTTGCATTTGGTCACCTGTGCTTGGAGGGCGCTGAGATTGGCTGGTGGTACACAAAACGCGTTTCTTGTGTGTGCTGTCGACCCGTCCACAGGCAGTGTATGCCCGGCAGGGATCTGTTGGGTGGTGAATTCTTCGTCTCCCCCTAAGAAACTGGTCACCGTGAAATCACCCATTCTTTTGGGCTGGAGAAGGGCGTCCTGGGGGCTTTTGGAGAAAAACACAAGGGTGCGGGATCCTGGGATTAAGTTCAACAGAGTGGCCCGAGCAGGTGTCCTCATTCCATCCCCCCCCCGCCCATAGGGGCTTTCTGTTTGGTGCCAAATATCCCTTTGTCAGTTACCGAAGAGATTTCTAGAGCCAACCTTGGGCTCTTTCTACAGAAAATTCATGCGTAGTACACCTCTCAGTGCTAATGGACTCTAGTTAGGTGGTGGTGCTGGCCCCCAGAAACTTTGCATCTTGACCCTTTGGCTTTTGAGAAGCCAGAGAGAGTTGGGGAGGAGCCAAGATGAAGCCATGAAGCCAGGCAGCGCTCTGAAGAGTAGGGATCCCAGAGCAGGCCAAAGGAAGATGTACTCATTGTTCTAGAACACAGTCCTGAAAAGGAGGGAGCTGCACTCTTGTCTTTCCTTCCAGTACTGTTTTATGGTGTTTCATAGAAGTGCATTTGATTGCCTTTTTGCCGTTTAGAGTGTAAACAGTGGACCTGGTGATTTTTCTCATAAAAACAGAGGTAGAAAGAACAGCATGAGAGGAGGAAATTTTGCCAGACTTTTCAGGACAAGCCTGTCATGTGCCCTTTGATGCTTGGGGGCACAGGGGAGTGAGAAAGCTCGCTCCCCTTTGTGTTAGAGAAGGGGGTGTTTCATTGAAACATGGAGAGGGAAGCAGTGGAGGATCGTGGCCTTGACTGAGATGGACTGGAGCAGGCAGCTGCCCCTTTCCCCTCGGTAACATCCTACACCATGACCTGGAGCACAAGTGTTCTCTGTGGCATCCCCAGTGCCGACCTGGAGCCCAGGGACCACAACCTGGTCCCCGTCCCTCGCCAGCCCTGTGTCCCCTGGGTCCGCCTTTCGCCTGGCCCTGCCCCAGGCTTCCAGAGGGCGTGCGGCAGCAAGGATGGAGAACACCCACTTTCCGGGCTTCGCCTCTCCTTCCTTCCCGCCTCAGCCCTCCACTGGGGACAGCCACAGCGTCCCCCAGGGGCTGTGGCCCCCACGGTGACCCTCAGGCTCAGCACGGCACCCCCACTTCCAGTTCCTTCCCTCCCATTTTCTCCCACCCGCCAACTGGGCAGCCTAACGAACCCCACTCTGGAAAGGCTTTGAAAATCCCCCTTGGAAAGGGCCCTACAAGCACAAGGAGAGGCTTCCTTAAGAAGCTTTTCAACAACATCCATGAAAAATGGATGAGCTCTCCTGAATTGCAAATGCTCTTAACATTGAAGGCAAAAATGTGAAACTGTCTTTTTTTTCCCCCCTCACTGGCAGTGAGGTCAGGGACACTGTTAAACAGTAAACATCAAACACTCTTTAGGGCCAGAGAAGGAACTTTGGAGCGGTATCACCCTTCCCAGAAGCTTGAACTCGATTTTAATTCAGTTTGGTTTTCACTGGCTTTTTTTTTTTTTCTTTAACATTTCAGTAACTATTTATTAAGCCTTCTCTATGTGCCTGGCTTTATGCCAGAGGCTGTGGGGTGGAACATATAGAAAATAGTAAAATTCACTCCTGTCAGAGGGATTATAACAGAGTTCAGGAAAGGCAAGACTTAGAGCAAAAATGGCTAAATAGTGCCGGTGTTAAGCGCGCAGGCGAGGGCCTGCGTGACCGAGGGTGGGCAAGGCTCAGAAATGCCCAGGATGGCGCAGGGTTCCGACCTCCTTGGCTTGACTGAACACACATGAGTACACAAGGAGATGGAAGTGGTTGCATTTCATTTGCAAAGTTGCCTTTGCAAAACCACTGCCATGAGCAGAATCTGAGGGCCCTGCTTTAGAGAAGACTACAGATTTCCGGAAGTCCTCATGTGCTTTGCCTTAGCTCCTCCAGCATGTTCTGGAACAACTGACCTCCTCGGAGTGACCTTGCCCTTGCTGGAACACCTTGAAACAGTGCCGTGCAGGGAGCCGAGGGTGACGGGAGCCAGCCTATGGCCTAGGGAGGGGGGCTCCCTGGAGCGTCCGCGGGGCCCTGGCTCTTCCGTTGCTCAACGTGCAATTGAGAACAGAGTTTTGAGAGGCTGGGCTTTCTCAAATCTCCTTGGATAACTCTTCAAAGGGGAGTCACATTGTGTATTTGTGTGTGTGTCTGAGTACATGTGTTTACTTCTGACTTGAAGGACGAAAAGCCCAAAGAACAAGAAAAAAGAGGAGATTTTCTTCATCGGCCGTTTTCCAAGAAGCTGGACAAGAATGTGCCCTCGCACAAACAGCCCTCTGCCTCTCTCATCACACAGATTCAGAACACTAAAGCTCTGCTGAAGGACCGGAAGGCCCCCAAGTCCGGCTTCCCCGACAAAGGTGGGTCAGCTCAGGCTACCGATTAGGCCCCTTGTGTTGAGATGCATGGTCACTGCGTCCCCCTCATGGGTGGCTGTGTGGGCCCCTGGGACACACACGAATCTTGTGCCCATGGGAGAGTGGTGAGCACACCCAAGGGAACCCGAGAACCGTCAAGGTCCAGACCGTGTGGTTTTGGCCACCCGTGCCGGCAGGCTTTGAGACAGCAGGGGCGGGGTGCACTGTCTTGTGGGAGCAGAGACGGGGTACATGGCATTGTGGGAGGGAGCAGAGATCAGGGTACAAAATATTTCAGGAGTGGCGATTGGGATGCAGGAATAGAGACGGGGGTTGTGGGATAAGGCACTGAAGCATGGTCGAAGAGTCTGGGCTCTGGGCTGGGGGTGGGGGGCTCAGACCCCGCTCTGTTGGCTTGTTGTGAGCTAAGTTCCTGACCCTCAGAGGATCCAAAGTTGTTCCCTTACTGGCGCAAGGAAACCCACCTGTCAGAGCTACTGTGTGGATTAAATGAGGTACATACGTGGGCTTGTCCGCCCCTTTCAGAGTCCAGCACATCAGGTAACTGATAAATACGAGGCTCCGTCCTCCGGGACAGTGGTGAGCAGCGTGGAAAGCAGGCAGGCGAAGCAGGAAAGTGTTGGGCAGATTCAAACAGTGGGGCTGTTCCCCAAAGAGAAACCTGGTTCTCAGCCAGAGAGGAAAATTCCATTGGATTCACTTTCATTCTTGAGCTTTCCCGAAAGGCAGTGGGTCTCACAGGAGGAGCTCTGCTTATCCCCCAACTTAGTGCTTCTGCCTTCTGGCTTTGTCGGCAGCAGCGAATTCGGGCCCTTGACGGTGCCGTCCCGTGGATGTCCCCGAGAAAGTCTACGTCAGGGCTGATACTTTGGATAACTTTGCTACACTCGAGGTGGATTCCACGCCTGGTAGTTTTCCTGGGCCTGTTACCATTTGTTTCTTTGCGTTTTTTCCTTCACCTTGGCATCTGAGAGCATGATAGGTCAGAACTTACCTAGTCTCTAGCACTGAGCACTCACTGTGTGGCAGACCCTGTTTCAAGCTTTTAGCTCACCCCACCCCCACTTCCAGAGCAGAGGAAGTAGGCACAGGGAACCCTACAAAGTCAGAGAGCTGGTGAGTTGACAGAGTCTAGATTTCCAGTTGGGCTGCCTGGCTCTAGAGCTTTCTCTCCTGACCCGTGTGGCCTCCTGCTTCCTGATAAGGATGGATGAAGAGGAGCCAGCCAGGGTGCTCACGGGGTGGGGGGCTGGTGAGCAGGCCCTTTCTGCGGGGGGTGATGCAGTGTGCGGGCCAGTGACTCTGGGCTGGGAAGCTTCCTCGCAGGCTCTCCATCTCCGGGGAAGTGAAGGATGCAGGACTGGGCAGAGGGGAACGTTAGGCCACCAATTGGGAGCACACGGCCATGGCGGGGAGGGGAGGGAAGGGGAGGCTTGTGTGCCAGCTGGAGCACTGGACACATCAGCCCTTCAGTGAAATTTTGCGTCTCTCTGCCGGTGAACCTTAGGCATCTGTGGTGGCCTGAGGAGGAGATTATTCTGGAATCTGTGGATTTATTTATGTGAGGCCAAGCGGATGCCCTGCGCCCTGGGCTCTCGTGAATCACTCTGCTTATTTCTGCAGCTGAGGCTCAACGGGGGGACGGGGGCCTAAAACGTGGGCCGGTAGAAAAGGGAAGTGAAGACAGGGCTTGTTCCGCAGGACCTGGCTTTATTTCCCTCTGCTGCAGGTTGCTGGGGGTTTCCCTTTCTTTTCTGGCGCCGCCTGCAAACCTGCATTCCAGGCGGTGCCAACCTGATGGGGAAACCATGGGGACGGGCTCATGGCCTTCTGTGTAGAGATGAGGAGTGTGTCACCCCCGTCAGAGTCGGGTGAGGCTCCGGTCAGTCGGGCGTCGTGAGGGCGGAAATTCGGACACTTACGACAACACGGATGAGCCTTGAGGACGTTCTGCTCAGTGAGACAAGCCAGTCCCAGAAGGACAAATACCAGAGATTCCACTCATGTGAGGCACCCGGCGTAGTCAGAGTCACAGACAGAAAGGAGGATGGTGGGTGCCAGGGGCCGGGAACTGGGGTTACTATTGAGTGGGGAGAGTTTTAGATTTCCACCATGAAGAGTTTTGTTTCCCAGCACCGCGGATGTATTTGACACTACTGAACTGTTACACCAGAAAACGGTTAAGATGAGAACTTTATGTTATGTTATGTTACGTTATTTATTTATTTATTTTAACCACAATTAAAAAAAAAGTCACAAGGGAAGCACTCCTTCCAGTGTTGCTTGTCTGAGCACCAAATTCACGGGTCCACAGCCCGTGGGCTGGGTGTGTGTGCTTCTGGTTCTGCTGATTCAAAGACTCATTGGCAGGGTCCGGAATGTTAAGCAGCCAAAAGGAGAGCAGATGTCAAGGTGGTGCCATGGGCAAACCGGAACGCAGGAGGCCTCCTGTCACCAGCCTGCTGTCCCCTCCAACCTAGGAAGAGCATCTGGTTCCCTGTGGGGAGCGCCGGACGCTGGGGCCCTTTGCTTCTTGGTTCCTTCTGGTGTCCCCGGGGAAGGGTCGTCTCAGTCAAGAGGCTGAAGCAGGCAGGGGAGGGCCGTTCCCATCCCCGTTCACGCGACTGTCCTCATGATGTCCTTTGCTTTCTTGGGTGCAGATTCCTTCGGCTGCCGCAATATTTTCCGCAAAACCTCAGACTCCAACTGTGTGGCTTCTTCTTCCATGGAGTTCATTCCCGTCCCACCCCCCAGGACCCCCAGGATTGTCAAGAGACCAGAGCCCCCTCAGCAGGGCCCTGGGGGCCCTGGCATCCCCCCCAAGGAAGACCCCCTGGTGCTGGATATGGTACGCTCCTTCGAGTCCGTGGATCGCGAGGACCACCCCGAACCACTGTCCCCGTCTCATCACTATAGGGCTCTAGGCTCACCCGGGGGCTTGGCCCGTGGGAATCCCGGCGAGCGGACGCTCTCCCCGGCCCTGCTGCCTGGAAGCCTGTCCCCTCTGCAAACTCCTTTGCATCCCACTCTGGTCTCCTTTGCTCACGAAGAAAAGAACAGCCCCCCAAAGGAAGAGGGCGTGTGTTCCCCATCTCCGGCTCCCAGTAATGGCACCACGCAGCCCCTGGGGAGCCCAAATTGCGTGAAAAGCCGGGGCAGGTTCCCCATGATGGGCATCGGACAGATGTTGCGGAAACGCCAGCAGAGCCTGCAGCCCTCCGCAGACAGGCCTCTGGAGGCCAGCCTGCCCCCGCTGCAGCCCATGGCCCCCGTGAGCCTCTCCTTCGATGTGCCCGATGGGCTCAAAGGCCAGTGCTGACCTGGGCCAGGGGCAGGGTTCTGGGTATTTCTTAGGAAAGTAACGGAACAGAGCTCCCCACGTGCATCGGGTTGTGAAGATTGGAAGGCCTCGTGGGAGCCTCCTTTAGGGCCTCTCCTCTCCCCCTGCCGGGCCATGTCCCAACTGTGAGCGGCTCACACCCACAGACCCAAAGCCTGCACCACCCGGGCTTGTGCAGGGACCCCAGAGATGCTGGAATTTACTAGGAGGTGTGGCTAGAGGGGCAGCGTCCTGTTCTCCTCCCAGCCCGCCCACTCCCCCCCCACTTGCCCACCTCCCTCTGCTGGGCCGCTGGGGGGCATCGGCCTCTGGGCTGCTCACATCCCAGCCTGTTTTGGATCTTTGCTCACTTTGTGCTCTGTGGCTGCCTCTCAGGACTGTGACTTCTCCCCACGTGACTGGCGGTGTCCCAGGGTGGTTCCCCTTCCTCTCGTAGAGGTGAATCCCTGCCCGCCCGAGGAGCCCCTGACTCAACTGCCAGGCCCGGGGCACTGCCAGCAGGACACCCCCTCCCTCTGTGTGGGAAGGGGCACCGGGGCAAGGACAGAGCCAAAGCGTGGGCACCCCAATGAAAGGAAGAGGCCAAAGGGGACACACATTTGCCATCTTCTGTTTTGGTTGAACCTTGCTAAGCATCGGCGTATCTTTTCCAAAGATGATTTTTTCCTTAGGGGATGTCAGATCAAAGTAACAGAATTTAAAAAAAAACCTGGGTGGGGAGATGAGAAGCGATCCTACCAAACTCGTGTTTTCACGAGAGGATATGCACGGAGGGCACCGGCACTCTCCCACGTGATGTTTCCAGTGGCCACTGGCCCTCCCATGGCCTGCAGGAGGGCATGATCGTGGCGGGCCCTATGTTCTTCCTGCTGTGCCAACACAACCTGAACCTTCTGGAAGGCATGGGACATACTTACAGTTAATGATTGAGAAAGAGAGAAGATGTTAAGGTTGAATGTAGATGCATCTGGAAGGCATCGCTCATTACCTCTGCTCAATGCAGTCTTCGAGCTGCCAAGAAACCAAGTGTGGTTTCGGTGGGACAAGTTTGCTGTAAGCTCTGAGCAGCCTCACGCGGCGGGGATCACGTTCAGAATGCAGTTCCATGTCTTCTCTGAGGAAAGCAGCATTCCTCAAACGTGCTTTGAGTCCACGTTCTGTGTTCATACCTTTTGCCAAGGTTCGAACCAAAGATGCATCTCCGGTTCTGTGTCCGTGCCATCCCGTGTGGTTTTGTGGATCTCGGTGTTGTCTGACCGTGTCTCCCAGGAGCCTGCTGGGGCTGTCTCCACGTGGGGCCTGGGCCCTGGCACTTGGCGGGGGCTGCTTTGTCATGAGCAAAATTGGAAAAAAGAAGAATCACCACGGGGTTGGATAGCGGTTAGCTCAGGAGACGGGTCACACAGTGGCTTGGGGTCTTCAGCTCTTGGCTCGTGCAGGCATGAGCAGAACTCACAGCTGTGGTCACCCCAAGGCTAGTCCACAGCCCATTGAGTCTGAAACAGGCCGTGGGCTGGTTCTTATGTCTTTCCTTATTTAGCCGTCATGACCTGCATCTGCTCTACACGTTTCTGACTGAGCCAGGAAAGAGCGGATATTTGGCTGACCCTGGAAGCCACTGAGATAAGCCCAGTCTCGGCTGACCTTGACAAGACCCTGGAACTGCTCCCTGCCCCCTCGCTGGGATCCTCCCAGCTGAAGGGCTTGTTAGGAAGGAGTCAGGCTCCTGGCTGTTGGTGTTATTCCTCTGTATGGCTCCAGACCGGGTTCCAGAACTTTCCATTGAAAATGGAGCTTTTTAAGTGGAGAGAAGAAAAGCATCTGAAAAAGACCTCTCTCCGTTTGACGTGAAGTGTCTGGTTTTTGATCGGTGAAGGAACCTTTTTTGAAAGTGTGACGCTCTGCAGGTTTGCAGGCTCTGTCCCTGTGCCTTGTGAACTTCTTTCCCTCTATGTCTCGTTCTTGTATTGTGCTTTCCTTGAGAACGTGAGTGTTTTTCTGTATCGCTGTTAGCTCATTGGGACATGCATTCTGTTCCTCGACCCAGCCGCACACGGTCATACAACTAACTGACCGTGTCACCATTGGTCACTTGAACTGTGAACTCAGGTTTATTCCAGAACCCAGTGAGAGGTGAGGGGGGAGTTAAGAAGGGGGGGGGGCAACTGTATTTTTTGTATGTGAGCACCTGACAAATTTATGAAACCAAGTGAAAGAAGAAATGTTAAATTCTTTATTATTTTATTATATTTATATGGGAAATTTGACTGTCCCTTTGGTAAGTACAAAGTGTGTTGTCTGTGCAACCCAAGACTGTCTGTCATTAGTCTGTGCCCATGACCTCAGTCAGCCTGTAGTTAACTGACGGACATGACCAACCTGTCACCGTGTGAAGTCCAGGAGGAAGAGTCAACTGTAATTGTACGATTTGGTCGTAAGTAAGGACTGTATTTATGTCACCATTATTAAATATATGTACTTTTATAATGACTGTGAAATACACTTTTCCCTCACTCTGACTGCCTCCTTTATTTGCATTTGGTAAATCTTAACACACTGAGTACGTTGCAGTAGTTGGTTGTCTTCTACATGAAGTCCGTGGCCCCGCCACTGACTGGATACAAGTGGGAATCGAGCTGTAGGGTATTTGGGGGCATCTTCTGCTCCTGTATCACCACTTCATTTTGCTCGTAACAGGTGTATGATCTACAGAATTCTTATCTGACCGATGTACAGCAGACGGCGGTTCAAGACGAATCAGCATTTTTTTTCTTTTTTAGGGGGTTCAGGATCTCCCTTGGAGATTCTGAAAATGGCACATGAAGAATGACATCTGTGAACAGTACATCCAGCTTTTGTCCTTGCTTTAGGGTTGGGTGAGGGATGGGGGAAGAAGGCTGGTGAAGTGGAATGGGTGGGTTGGATTGTCCCAGTTCTGACTTCACTCATCACTGTCCACCTTGCTTAAAGCCTTGTGTCCCCCTGGATGGTGTGGCTCAGAGAATGGCATGATGTGAGTGCACCTTCCGCCACACGAAGCTCCCTGAAGCTTGATGGGCTTGCGGAGCCACAATGAGTATCTGGTTTTGGTGATGCTCTTTCCTTTTAGGAGTCCAAACATTTCAGGACAGAGAGGAACCAGAGGTTATGTGCTTCAACCCCAGCCTTTTTGAAGAAGAGAAAACTGGGGCCCTGAATGGTTTAAGGACTCCCCAGCATCCCTAAGTGAGCTGGTCCCAGAGCAGGCCTGGGAGGCAGGGCTCCTCCCTCAAAGAACACACAGAAGTCAGAGTGTGGCTGTCGTGGGGAGAGTGGAGAGTCCACATCAGGTCAAGCTGTCATTACGACGGGTATCTTTGAGGTCCTTCCCTAGACCTGGTCTTTGCAATTTCAGGTCACTATCAGAATCGTGCAGCTTCTTGAGATTCTGCACATCGTGCTCTTTCCACCATCCAACCACCGGAGAAAGACTTTTTCTTTCTCAACAGATCTTCCAAGTGAGCAGCAACCCCTGGACCTCTTTGTTATATGCATTAGCTCTTAAAAGGCTGTTGGGTTTTACTAGATGAAATCAATAAAACATTTTCTAAATAGCCATATCACGAAACGAAGTCAGAAAGAGTGCAAGACTGATATTTTTAGGGGGGTCTGGAAGCCTCTCGGTTGTTATATTTGTTTTCTTTGTAGGACCCTCTGTGAGCTCCAGGCACAGTGAGAATAATTCAGGGCAGTACTGGGAGCTGGTTCAATTTCATGTCATCACTTCTCAATGAAAGGAGCATATTTCCTGAGTAGTAAATGAGTGTATTATTTGTGGCAGCTTTTTCGTCAAGGGAGCTTTTCAGACATCTGGTTCCAAAGACAAATGGGGTATATATTTGAACTTCTTTTCTGCAGACCTGTTTTCGTGACACACCGTTATCTCTCAGATCTGATGGTTGTGGCACCAACAGACTGGGGTGGGGGAAGGGTGGGGAGTAGTTCAACATTCACAATCCCCTTCCATGGGGATATCTACGTCTGAGCTGGTACGTGGATAAGGAGCATTTGGGGCAACCGGCCCTGGCAGCCTAGAGTAGCTTGGTGTGGAGCAAACCCAGGGGTCAGCTAGAGCTTAGTGGTCTAAAACCAAACAATGGCATATTTGTAGGGAAGACAATGCCGGGACACGGCATTATTCTCAGAAATGGGTCCGACTTCAGGGCCTGAACTAGTTACACAACATATTCCCTACTCCGGAGATGACCCATTAGGTATTTTGAAAGGAAGGTCTTTGGCTGGTGTTATAAACCCTCAGGAAGAACAAAAATGTATTCGTTATAGGCCTCGTGACCGGAGCCCGCTGAAAAGGGCAGGATGTGAGCCTGTGTCACGAACACGGCTTCTCGCCCAAAGTTGGGCCGTGAATTCGTGGCAGGTCTGCGAGGAGAATGCCTTCCGTGACCCCTTCGTCAGTGTTCACTTCTTCTCTGGCAACCCAGTGTGTTAGATAGATGTGGCTTTGTGCTGATAACAAACCCCAAATCTCTGTGACTTGCCCAGTAAAGGTTTATTTCTCACACAAATTTGTATGCAGTTTGGCGGATGCCAGAGCCGCCATCTTCCATGTGGTGACTCAGGGATCCAGGCTGCTTCCCGCCCATGGCTCATCCACGGTTCTGTGGCTGGGGCAGCAGAGGAAGCATGAGCCAGAGGGCCTTCCTCTGCCCTTGAGTGTTCTCTGAGGGCTGGAACTAGTTCTGTGGCCTTCCTGTGAGCGAGAGGCTGAGAAATATGGGGCCGCATGTGGATACTTGGGGTACAGTTACTGTTTCTGTCACAGGGAAGGTGAAGATGCCTGCTGCTTAAAGGGCCCCTCAAACTGGACTGGCCTTTCCCATAGTTACACAATTATGGCACCGCTTGTATGTGCTGATTATTTGTTTTAAATAAAGGGATAAGCATTGTAATTATTAATGTTTCATTTAATTTAAGGGGGGTGTTATGGGCTGAATTGTACCCCTCCCAAATTCATATATTGAAGCCTTAACTCCCAGGACTTCAGTATGTGGTTGTCTTTGGAGATAGGGCCTTTAAAGAGCTAAAATAAGGCCACCGTTAGGGTGAGACCTAGTCCAGTCTGACTGCTGTCCTTACGAGAAGAAGAAATCTGGACACATACAGGGACACCAGACAGAGGAAAGACCATGAGAGACCCAGGGAGAAGGCAACAATCCACAAGCCAAGGAGCGAGTCCTCAGGAGAAACCAAACCCGCCAACACCTTGATCCTGGACTTCCAGCTTTTAGAACTAAAGAGAATTAACTTTCTGTTAAGCTGCCCAGTCCATGGCCCTTTGTCATGGCAGCCCTAGAGAACCAACGTAGTGGGGAGGTCAGATAGGAATATTTACATGCTCCACAAATCTGACAAATTTTCTCCCATATGCTGCATCCCATTTACATTTTCTTACAACTAAAGCACTCCCAGAATGTCCTTTTATTTTATCTTTTTGCAGTGAAATCTCACCTTTCCAAGTGTCCCCTGTTTACCAGGCCCTGTGCCAGTTAGTTTCAAGTGTATTTCTTCCTTTAATCCAGAGAGGCACAAACTTCTTCTGTAAAGGGCCAGATAGTAAATATTTTACGCTTAGCTGCCAACCGTGCGACCGTTGTATATTCTTCTTTGGGCTTGCGGTTTTGTGTTTGTTTTTTTTATGACCCTTGAAACATGTGAAAACAATTCTTACCTGGTGGGCACGTAAAAACAGGCCACCACAGACTTGGGCCCTTAGGCCTCCTGCTGTTACCTTCCCAAGAACCCTGTAAATGGCTGTGTTGTCTCTGACATGGAAGTTTAAGTAGTTTGCCCGGTTCACACAATCAGGATTTCAGTCACATGCTGAAGGTGTTCATTTTAGGAACGAGCCCCCTGTAAAAAAAGAGAAAGAGCTCCTTTTGTGCTAGCTGGGCTCCTAGGTGCTCAGAGGAGTCATCATTCATAGTAACGAACCGGCGAAGGGTCTGGGGCAAAGGGAATTGGGAGGTGGGGAGAGACTCTGGCCTTGCTCTTTGCTGTCCCTCCCTGTATCGCTTTGAGTGGATTTCCAGGGTTGGTTGCTATCTGCAGGCCTAGCGGTGCTTCGGGAGAGCTGTCCCTGTCACGAGCCTGCCCCTGCCATGGAGTCCCCACCCTCAGATTCATCCCTGCCTTCATCTGCATGGAATGGAGCCTGGCTCTGGGGCGCAAATCATTTTCCATTCAAGCCATGTCCCTTTTCTCTCTGTGAATGGCCTCTCAAAAATGGGTTCTTACGGCTTATAAAGAAAGAGCTTGCTGAAAGTCTCAGGGAACAAGTCTAAATCTAGAGCAGACGTGAAGCCGGATGATGCCTCATAGACGAATCATCGCCATTACTCACACCTGAATGATGCCGTGTCACCGCAGGTTGGACACGTGTCCCCTTTCCTGAGAGATGAGTTGTGTCATCTGAATCAGCTCCAAAGAGCCCATTCAGAGTCCTTCCCACCCATGACCACTTCAATTATATGAACCCTTCTCACTTTCAGAACATTCGGGCCCAAGCCACAGAATCACAGGGACATGGGGGGTCACCCAGCCCTAGGCTCAGTCCCCTGGAATTTGGGGCAGTCCTCGAAGAGCACCAAGAAATGTGGGTTCTTAGAATAAGCACAAAGCAACCCCATGGAGCAGAGTTTTTATAACCCTCTGCTAATTTAAATTAAAAAAAATTTTTTTAACTTAAAACTAATGTGTCATGTATTCAGGTGCAAAATCAGTGTGAGTCTTGTGAGTCCAACCCTCCTCGTCCTCTCTGCTTTGGGTAGTTCCGGGAACAATTTTGAAAGGTAGAAGTCAGAGCCAACCTCCCTCTTTTACATTGATTTACATGATGTATTTGACACCAAAATGGAGAAATGATGCATTGAAGAGCTCCCAATTTGTCAGTGGCAATGTCTGCCTCCATGATCAGTTTTCTTCCCACTATCCCTGGCAAAGAGCCCAGAGTTAAAGGAAGGCTGAGGATGCTTAGGGGTGTCACGAAGTTGGGTCTGCTTGCTCCCCTTTCAGATTTTTGGTCCCCAGAGTGGATGATCATAATAGAAAGAAGGAAATTAATTTGTGAAGAGGGGATATATATATATCCACTCCCTTTTATTTAAAAGGGAGTGGATATATATAAGTGCTCTCTCCACTTTCCCAAGCCTAATTTGTCTTGCCTTCCTTTGAGTACTCCTAGGTATACATGTTGCAGCACTGACTGTGATAATTGTTAACACATTGCTCTGTCCTCCAGGGCTCTAGGACACTGTCTCTCTCATCTTTATATCTATACCCAGTGATCTAAACACATGGATGAATGGATTAATGGATGAATAGGTGGGTGGATGGGTGGGTAGATAATGGATGGATGGATGGTAGATGGGTAGTGGTGGGTGGGTGGGTGGATGGTTAGATGGACGGGAGGGTGGGTCAATGGGGAGATGAATTGATGAATGGGTGGATGATAGATGGATAA